TTCGTATCGATTAGTTCCTCACGTCAGAACGAGAAGTAAAGAAAATAAATAAATCGTACGTTAGCAACAATCAATTCCGCACAACCTAATTTTATGCACGCAGGGAAAATATGGGCACTTGTAGATCTGACAGATAAATCTTTCACCTGCTTGGGCCTTTCCGCAAGAGCTTGACCACATTTCATAAAATACCGGTCCATTTCTTGATTGCTGAGAAATCCATCACTCAACTCCTCCTACTCAGGAGTCAATGGTGAGTATTCCGTCTGCATACTCTGTAAAAGATATTACTTAAATGTGGAAAAACTGAACGGATCTGCTAATGTACCCATGGATGAAATACAGCTCCCTGTTAATTTTTTTTCTACTAGGATTGTCCCAATCCAATGTTGCCTCCCTGATGTTTCTTGAGTGTGATATTATAAAATAAGAAATCGTGACAATAGCCCATGACATTCCAAGGCTCCAGTTTTTTTTTTCAAATGAAAACAAATAATTTTAATTTACTGCACCATTATAAGTGAGAAATTTCCAGGAACAAACAGATTTATCCAACCATGCCACTTCAAAGAGCTAAAAATTAGTCAGGCTAGCTAGAAGCTTGAATTTTTTTAGCCTTTAACCATTATATTTCTTCAAGTTTTGATAAGGCCTAAAACAGCAAACTTTTTAAAACTGGCATGACAACTTTTCTTTTGTTCTAAGAATCATCTTTATAATTGAAGATGATGGNCACGATATGTACAAGGCACAGGTAAAATTAAAAAATAGCATCTTTCGACCGATCGATCGAAGAACAACTCGAAATAGCGAGAGAAAAAAAAAAGTTTCACAACACCACGTGCTGAAAAGGAGGAGGAGAAGTTTCGGCGTTTTTTTCTTCTTTCTTTGAGGAACACGAACAGCAACCCGCGCAAAGTCCCGGTTTTTTCAAACACATCAGATCTCTTCCGTTGTAGTGCTGCTGCTTTGTTTCAGTTTCTCAGGCTTTGGGGCAGAGACTGCAGCGTCCAGCTTCGCTTGGATGTTGGCAAACGAGTCCGTGCCCATGTAGTCCATGCTGCCCTTCTCCCAGGCCTGGTAGCGCTCTTGTTCCGTCTGGGTCCTGCCGTTGCCGCCTCCGTAGGCGCCGCCATCGGCGGTCACCAGACGCAACCCAGCGACCGCAGTGGCCAGACCGGCCTGAAGATAGTTCAAACGATACAATGACATAATCAATATACGTCGCATTGAAAGATTCAATATGAACAAGCACATCGTATTTTCTTCTGGCTCTAAAATATAAGGAAGCAACAGTTCCTCACTAGTTCGAAAACTCTCACCACAACACCACCACCGCTGGAAACACATACAAAAAAGATGTGGTAGAAGGATTTTTTCATCAATGAATAGACTGCAGCGTAATTTATAACTTATTTATTGCAGTGAACGTAACGGGTGTGCATATGCAACTGTGAAAAAATTTCAACAGCAATTATCCTGGGCATATGCCATTCACAATCTTGAGAATTACACTATGCAAGTCAAGATGAAGTTAATAAAATATAGCATCGCAAACAAGCAGTAAAATAATTGATAGTCAAACCTTGATTTAGTGCCATCATTTGCACAAGAAATATTGGAAGCAAATGCACTGTATTTCAATACATTTAATAAAATACCCACTAGATACATGATTTATATTAGATTTTGGCAGATGCTCTGTCAAGTAAAAGAGACAAGCTGTTTCTTCAAACTTTGTATCAAACTGTTCACGAAAGCACACAATTCCAAGATAAGGTAAAAGTATTTCAACTTTTTTGAAAAAGCTATCCCAGTTTAAAACATGCTCTTCACTGCGGAGGGCACCCAGATAATATGGAAATCTATAAAAATAATTTTCATTATTATCCTGAGCATAGACGTGAGCTTCTCACTAATAAACTAATGAAATCCTGGAGAATTCCTCACTTCCTTAGCCTTGAGCCCATTTTTCGGCCAAGACAAGAATTTTTTGCACAACTACTGCACCAAATCGACGTTTTCCCGAAGGAAACAACGCAGGGAGCTTTGTGACATCGTTATTCAAGGGTGGTACTAAATCTTAGGATTGACCGTAGCTTATTTCACAGCTCGTATGACCGCAGCAGCCATTCCGATGGAGAAGTCTAAATGAAAACTTTCTTTTTCAACATCAGAGCAGCCGTTCATCCTGATTCTCCTCAGTACATTTTAATCTTGAAATTGAAACATATGACAAGGAAAATAAGTTCAATTTACGAAGAAAACGAAATCGTGCTTGCAACTAGGACGAAGACAGGATAACCATAATTCTAAAACTTGGTTTCTCCTGCGATAAAACCGTGATCACAAACGCTCCGAATCTTTTTCTCAATCGTTCTTACGGATGTAACAAGTCCGCAGAGATCGTAACGGGTGTTACTGGTGGACATGCAAATATACGGCATCAAACGAAAAGCAAGCACAGAACATACGGCAGGCGTCAGTTGAAGTTTCTGAAAAGTACCTGGTTCTGACGAGCTCCGATGCAATCCCATAAGCAAAGCTGGTTAGACTCATCCCGCAACCATCATCAGCAGACATTGTGCCAGAACAACCGAACAAATAACGAAGCAGGATTCGCGCGAAATTTTCACATACACCCTTCCATGCAAACACTTACAAACAAAACAGAAACACCTCAACAGCCCCCCATGACCATCACGGCAAATTTTTTGATCCTTCGCTAGTCCATAAAATCACCACAACGTTCCCCTAATTGAGCATTTCTCCCGGAATGCCGCCACATGAACCCTCGAAACATAACCCAACTTTTGGCCTCGCGGATTCCCAAGATGACAACGATGAAAGCAATAATGAATGAATGATGCAAAATATTTGACGGGAGCCCTCGAAGGACACAACCGCAGAGAGATGAAAGAAAAAACTCAAGATGCATTGGATATAGACCGCCTTTCACGCCACCAGCTGCGCACTGCTGCGATGCCCCCGTCGCTGCAACACCGTCATCCTAACCACAGAAGTATCTTCTCTGAAGTTTAAAAAAAAAGTTGGAAAGCCACGCGATAAACCATGCACCCCTGAAAATATTTTATTCTAACCCTCCTAGAATCCTGCACTCATCGATTTTGTACGCGTTATCGTTTTCAACGGCTGACGAATGCCTCACTCAAACTGGTGAACCACGTCAGGCGCCATGACACATGTGCGCTATTATTTATCGAAGATCCTCAACATCAGTTCACTGTACGAAGTTCCAACCTCAGCTGAATCAGAATTTCGGCACGGTCAAGAACCGTGATTTGAGCAATCAGATTTGCAGATGGAAGCATGTATATTTGAAACCAACTCTCTAATCACAGTCTGCAATAAAACTGAAATACAACACATTTAAGGAGAGGCAGAAAATGACAGAAATAATCCTTTCAGTAGGTTCATCATCCTCACAACTGACGTTTCCTGTTTTGAAACTTATTTCACAATTGTTTTGATCTTGCCTCCTATTTTCACGATCATTGGTCATTTAAAATATATGTATTGCAAAAGTAACTGAATTCGAGAGAAAATACTGCATCTTGTGCCTTACATCTCTGAATATATTACAATGAATCCCGCTAATCAACAAGGCGGTGCAAAAAATATTATCAACAATAAGATTTACAATCTTTTTTGCATTTTGTCTTATCATCGAATATGACTTTTATCATGGACCTTCTTGAAATGCCAAAAAGATAAATTGAAAAACACGGCCTTCGTTATTCTGAAATTTCTGGCTTTACTTTACGAGGTGCAAAAAAGGAAAAACGACAAATTATTTTGAGATAACCTTCCAATTTTCAAACGAAATGAAAAATTTACTCAGCTGAAATTTACTGACATGCATCATTATTGAATACTAAAAATCTTACATTTTAATGAACTGTAGATTCTACGTCAGATTATTCAGAACAGCCATTCTTCAATTCTGGTGAAGATTCTACCTTCGTGGACATAGAAAGATTACGAAAAATACCCTAATGACAAAATGAGCACACAGAAGAGACTCTCAGAAAGTTCGAAAAACTGGAGAAGAGCAGGCGGCCATCTTGGGTCAGCGAGGCCAAAAGTATCTGAAGCGGCCTTAAAAGTGGGGAAAACAAACCTCAGGAACTGGACGAATAACCCAGGGGCTCAGGAACTTGC